GGATCATCATATGGTCGACGTTTAATGTGACCAAACCATCTAAGACGACTATTTTTTTCGCCACTGGAGCTACACCAACCCTATCACGAATATAATTATCACGGGTATGTACATTTAATATTTTGTAGTGTAAAGCCACTCATCCACCTAAGCATTCTCATCTCGTTAGTTAGATGTTTAGATTTTAAAGGCTAACATTCTGGGCCATAGAGCATTGCAGGTTTCACCACCATATTATAAAATTTTTCTTTCAGTCTAAGCGGTACTTTTCTATTACACAATAGGCCCGAAGCATTCCTCCACTTCAACCAACATGAAATTAAACCCCATTATTAGTAATTTATAATATATTTAATTCATTTAATTAAAATCCTTACCTCTCCCAAAAACTCAGACCGAATCGGCCCTCGCATGCTCTGCCCTTCCCTTTCTTCTTCGACTTGATCGCACATGATTGAATGTGACTGTGTGTGAAGAATATTTTCCCGCGCTCACCTCCTCCTTGCTCAATTGTGGCGTCACATTCTTTGCTAGGGCTCAGTTGAAGCCCTCTGTTCGCGACCTTCTCTTTGCCCAAGTTGCACACCGCAGCTACCAAAGCTCGCACGATCCCAAGAGCCCTCCTCCATTTCACTTGACGTTGCATGCTCGACTCTCAGGTAAGCAAGCTCACCTCTACCATTTAGGTCCTAACCCTCTTGCTTCACCCCTCCCTCTTCGGCTTCATGGTTGTTCGATTCCTCTCCCTCCTTTAACCGCCCCACTCCTCATTTCTCCTTCAATTCTCATTTTCTCTCTCTCGAATAACTGAAATGGGACTTCACACCTTTACTGGATGAAAAACTCCCATATTTTCAAAAAAAAAAAATGTGTGGAAACTAAATAATATCTTTCTTAATTCCAATGCAATTAGCAGTATCTATACTTTAAAGTAGCAAGAGTAACCTAAAATTCAGATATCTAGAAAACGAGCCAAGGCTCTCAATGAACACTCATTAATTCAAATCATTTATCCTCTATTTAATGAGAACACATAGCAATATCCATATATACATTTATGGATACATAGCCACACATACGACTAAATATTGGATTTCAAATCATTCTTTATGGCATTGAAGATAATTTGGATGTGTAAGTTCACTCTATGTAACAGATATCATTTCTTTGCGTAACAAAATATATAACAGCTATAAAACAAGTTAAAAGGCTAATTTATATATACAAATATGGATATATAGCCACACAAACACCTAAATATTTAGACTTCGTACAATTATTTATGGGCATGAGTTTTATAGAAGCTTCCATTAACAATATATGAAGGCAAAGCTTCATGCTCTGCAGTTACAATTTGCATACTTATCAAGTCTTAAATGAAGAATTATGCAAAGTTTAAAGCATTGATTGTTGATCATCCTAAACACATTGCTACATGGCAGTGACATGCAAATAATAAGCAAGTTGGCAACATGATCAAAACCTAAACCCATACAGGTAGCATATTGTTAAGTATATGGCTTCTGATTTATTATCCAAAGAAAAAAATCAAAATCAAAACAATTTCGCAGTACTAAAAGAAAGAAAATTCAAAATGTAATAATCAGTACCAGCTCCTTGCTTCTAGCATGAGATTGCAACAACATGAAACAAAATGTACCTAAAAGCATAAATGACGATATCCAAATTCCAAAGCAAGAGCAAAGAACAAGGTGAATGTAAGAGAATATATGAATCAAAGACAAAGATTACATTAACACATCAACCACCCACTCCTAACCCCACCACCACCCAAATCTTTTAACACCCAAGCATATGGTTGTTTGAAGATATATGAGGAGTGTGAGAAAGAGAGTGTGAAAGAGAATGAGACAGACAGGCCCCTCTTTTTAGCTCTTTCATCTTCCTAGTGGCCATGTAAAATCAAGCAAATCATTGCATTAGCTTGTTACCTCTCCTTTGCTCAATCTTGCTACTGACCATATAAAAACCAGTAAATCTTTGCAGCAGTTCATTCATTAATCCAACCCTGCATGGCCATTATTTAACTTATCTAAACAGTAAACAGCAAATACTATCAATTACCTGAACATCCCAATTCATAGCTTGCATGATATCAAAATTATATTCAAAATACATAAAATTGTGATGTCAAAAAATGAAAAATTAAGAACTAGCAACTTCCCTATGGCCCAATTGTTTCAGTTTGTGTTTATTAACTCGAATATTGCATGATCAAGCAGCATTCAGGTAGGCAACATTAACAACTATGTCTCCACAAGGTAATAGACCTATCATTCCTAAACTGATTTCTTTTAGTTTAATCTTATACCAGCTATATAAGAAATAATATTTCAACAATGGAAACATAAAAATAACTAAATCGAAAGTGAAGACTCAAACTAGTTTAGTTTGATATCAAACTTATCATCATTACCAAATCATTGAAGTATTACAGGCTTTCAACGCTTAAGGAAATGCGGACCAAACCGGTGTGAACAGTTTGACGAATAGCATCCAAGTGAATGCAAAATCTTATGCTTTAATACCCATAATGGCTGCTTTCTGTTTCCCAGTAAAAAAGAGAAAAGCAATGTAATCATCTTTTAATATAGTGTATAAAATAATATAAAACAGAGTGAGAAGGAAGAAATCAATTCAACAATTTAGTTTATATACTCTTCAACATTTCCAGTAACATTCCTCCCATAGCGTGCACATTGGTATAAAGAAAGAGAGAAGAATGCCATTTGCATCAGTTCATAAATTCCTAGCAACCATATGAGCCCTAATAAGTGAAACTAATTAAAGGCCTTCACAACATAATTAAGCAGATTCAGCTAGCAACAAAGAATCCATTCATAAAATTTCAAATGTCATCAATGCTTCAAAGAACATACCAATATACAAATACATAAGCAGTATCAACAAGAATGGAATTTCATCACTCAATGAGAGGATGATAGAACAGATTTAAATAATTGATGTGTAAAAGATTAGTAAATCATTCACATTGACATCAAAGAGCACTAGAAAGGTCAATACATGCCAAGAAAAAAGCTCATTCAAGTAGAATGAAATTATATGTTGACCATGGGCCAATATCCGTTAATAAACAAGAAAGAATAACACATACTCTTCACCCCTGGTCACTGGGACAAAGATTTCATGTAGTTTAGTATTATGTCAATTTGCCATTATGCAGTCTTTGCAACAATGCAGTATAACCAAGCATAGCAGAAAAAAAACAATTACTGAGACTTAGATATGAAAGAAGGCAGAGCAATCCCTTAAATGTATATTGCAATGACTAACTGAATGTAAATTGTGCACCGAAAGAAGTCAAACATTTTTTTACAAAAAATAAAATCAAAATCAAAATAAAAAATTCAGTAGCTCTATATCCAATAATGATCATCTTATTTACATATGCTAACTAGTCTCAGGATGATAATTGTCCAAAACGTTACGCGGCGACACAGAGCTAATAAAAAGGAAAACAAAAGGTTTGGCAGGTCACTTTTTCACACCTCAGATAAGGTGTGATTTAAACTGTTCTCAGAAGTGGGGTGTTCAACATATTCTAGGCCTATAAAAAGCATCTCAATAACACAATTAAAACAAAATGTTCCACGTGATTTATGACTAGAATAAATTCAATTGTTTGGACATATTTCTTAAAAGAATGATATTTGGTAACTATTGAAAGAAGACAGAGAAGATGGATGAAACTCAACAAAACCAAATATAATATCATGGAAATATAATCCCTTAAAAAAATGAGGCACCCATGAAGAAACTAATAACCAAGTTGAGCATCGCATAAACGAGAACATTAATATGGATTTCTAGCAAAACTAGAAAGGATAGATTAAAAGATGATAATATTAGATATGCTATAAGATTGAAAATAAAATAATGAATAATAACTAAAGTGATTTGGAATGTACAAAGAAGTGTTAAAAATGAACCAATGAAAAGGAATATAAACGTGGTAAAATAAAGGTAAGATGGATAAAAGTTCAGCAAAAAAACTTACTTGAAATAGATTTTATGGAGCACACAATAGTAATAAATAGAAAACAAGGTTTCATAAAACCAAATTATGCAACTCACAAACTGGCATTGTTCTCGCAACATAAGTTTCTGAAAATATTATTCTTGCCCGGTTGGTTTTCTTTTTATTGGTTTCTATTACAATTTATGAGTGAACTATTAACTTAGTGGCAATAGCTTTTAATAAGCCTATTAGTTTTTTTCTTAACTTATATTTTGCTTTGTTTAGCCACACAAGGTTGATTAAAGTACTAAATATTAGATAACTGTAAGTGGATAAAAGCTCTTTGATATACATTTTACAGAAATTCAAACATAATTATTCTGCTTCTCATTGTTCAGCTATGCCAAATTGGTATACAGAACAGATGACAAACAGTTGAAAGAACCCAGCTAGCAATGACAATTGCAACTGGGACTCTTCCGTGAAGCTCATTTTCTTATACAACAGCTGGAGTTCTTGATTTCCACCTTCCGGCACTCATCCATAACAACATCAGGTGAGTCTGTTGAAGTGAATTGTGATCCATGACAGCAACCTAACCAATCAATACGTTCAGAGTTTTACAAATCTAATTAGGAGCATTTTCAGAGTCAGCGGACAAGCTTGTCCCACTCAGATCAAAGATGGAACACTGTTTGTTGGAGCAACCACACAAACAACATCGCACACAGAAAGGAGCTTACAAAGATTTCAAGGTAAAAACTGATATTCTATTTTTAATAGTCACCTTCTCATTGAAGATTATCTCAATCTAGATAATGTCGTTGATGTATTCTTTAAATTTATGGAGATCCCACCTAAAAATAACCTAAAACAGCCTAATAAAAAACTAGCCTGATCCAAGCTATTCAGCGCCCTCTATGTGCTCAAAATAAAGATACTCGAAGTTTACTAAAAAATATATCCAGAAAACTAACAAAGTACTGCGGAATATACCAACCTCCGACTTGATAAAACCTTTAGCAGGATTGCTGCCTTCAACATGACATGCTGCAACAGTATTTAGTTTACAAGAAACCCTTCCGTCTGCCCGATCAGCCTTGTCAACTTTCACATGTGTTTCTAGCGAAAGTTTTGATCTTGGTGGCTCATCAGAGAAACGTCTCCTGGATGTCTTAAACACTAGCATGTGTTTGGACTTACTCAAGCTATTATCCATCCCATCGTCAAGATTCTTGCAGCTTGACGTATGAAGCTTGTCTTCCCGTTTGAGCGCACTCTTGGCATCTGGAGTATCAGATTCCGCAATATGTAGCCCCCCATCCCCATCCTCACATAAATGTTCCTTTCTAGAGTCAAACACTGGAACAGATCCAGCTGCGCACAGCCCGTACAAAAAATCAGAAACCAAACTCATTGCCGTAAAAAAAAAAATCTGAAATAGCATAGCAAGCACAAAAAGCAAATAAAAAACAGAAGCATTTCAATGCAGCAGGTATGCACCTTTCCCCTTCGTATCCATCAAAGGCTTATCAAAATCTCCTCCTGAACTCTTCCGGCCACTGAAATCCTTCTCCTCGCCTGATTCTTCCTTCCTACACTTACTCGATCCCAATACTCTAAGTTTATTCCTCTCCTTCTTTGCACTGCCAAAAGGACGAGCGCCCAACAGAATCTTCTCCCCCTCCTTCCTCGTTCGGTCCCCGGATAACAACTTCTCCGAAGTCTTCACCGGAGTAGCTTGCACGGTTTCCTTCGACAACGAGAAAAGTGCATCAGCACCTAGGCTAGCTTTATCCCTCTCCTCCTCCTCCCAACAAGGGAACTCCTTATACTTCAAATTAAACCTCTTCGGAACATATCCAGTGCACTTCCACAACTCCGGCGATAATATCTTTGAAGATAACCCCCGAAACAAAGAAGGATCGCCACCAGGGACGCCCTGCACATGGACCCGCTCCTCCATAGGTACATGAGCCCATAACCTGAAAGGAGGGCGGTACGGCGCACCAACAGGTGGGATCGGCGGAGGGCGATCGGCCTTCGTAGGCAACTCGACAAGAAGTTGTGCGACCTCGGTCTCCTCCGTATCATGGGTAAAGTTATTAACAGCGGAGGTGGCGACCGTGCGGGAGCGCTTGGTAGCCGCGGCCTTGCATTTATGGCAGGCAAAAGAAGCCTCCCCTCGAACATAGTGGGAGCAGCGGGTATGCACCCAAACTCCGCACTCATCGCAGCTCACCATCTCCTCACCGTCGTCGAAGTTCACGCCGCAGGAGCAGTCCACCGTCCATTGGCCATCACCCCAGTCCTCAAGGGGAGCGGATGGAGGAGGGCGGTGGGAGCGCCCCTTCATTGAGGCTACAAGTATACCAACAGGATTCTGGGTATACGTTTCGAGGAGAGCATTCGGTCGGATTAGATCGCGGAATTTGGCCTGCAGGGAGACCTCAAGCCCTAAATCCTTTGGAGACGGATACGATGTGGGATGGATCTGATGGCTGAAGGCTCGTTGGATCAGTCTTTAGGGGTAATACCTGCGTTTTCCGGCCATGGGAGATGCTTGGTATTTCTCCCGTGCTCGTTTTCCCCCTCCCGCTCTCCCTCCCTCCCTCCCTCCCTTACCGTTCTCATCAACGGTTTGGATTAATGCTGATGGTGTAAATGATCGATCGGGAGCGGGGAAAGCCGTGCGGTTAAAGATTTCACGCGGCGGAATCAAAACGATGAAAGATATGAAATTGGGAGCAGCTGAAGATAATTTGGCGTCCGGAATCGAGACTGGAGGACCAAGGAACGACTGGCTTAGGCCCAGAAACTCGGCCTAATTTCTTGTTGTTTCTGGCCTAATTTCTTGTTTAGAATTAATATGAAATAATTGTAATGCATTTAAGAGTGATTTGATTATAAACATAGTCTAAATTAAATATAGAATTTATACTTAGAAGTAAGTTTGATTCATACTTCCGTAAAATTTGATTATAAATTATATACGCACGAATCTCAAGAAAACCCAAAAGAGTCTCACTTATTAACATCATTTGATAGTATATCAGGAAAGACAAGTGGCAAAAACATCAAACATCATTTCCTTCGGTCAAAACTCTAAGTCGGTTGAATGGAAGCACGACTGAACGAAGAAATATGATTCAAATTTGAGGATGGTTGTTCATGACTAACTCTTCAACTGATTCTGAAATTTCTTATAAAAAGACCAAAGGTCCCCTAACGGAACACCTTTATGACTCTTTAAAAAAACTTATTATAAAAGGAAAGTTGCTTGGAAGTTTATAGCGGTACACCCTCTGCCTAATGCCTAATGACCGATGATCTCGCGGCCGACCCAACATTCAACGGCCAACCAAATGCTTCTATCTGACTAATCGATGAGGTTGTTGAGTCATCGGATTTCTTTATTCAAGCGGTTAGTAATACAAAAAAGGTGCTAAAGTCGATTAAGAAACTGAAAGTGTGTCAAAGTCAGTTACGAACACAAAAATGTGTCATAAATAATCTGTAAAGTTCATATTAAAATATGAATAAACATGTAATTTGTATTAATAACCCTTAAAATATATAAATAGGGGATCATTTTTACAATAAAGAATTACTAATGTACTATATCGAAACTCTGACATTTTTGTGATCTCTTCCTCTCTCTCTATTTTTCTTTTTTGTTCTCTGTTTTATAGTTTACATGTGATCCATAAGACATGTCTGGATTCAACATCCTAAAAAGGCGCACACAACTGATAGGGAACTTATATGGGACGCACTGTAAATATGAAGTGCGAGAGAAAATTTGTGCAATAGCAAATCCAACAACTTACAGACCAAATGGTGGGTTAGATGGTAAAATTAACTTGGATGTCACTTGTTAGAGAATATGGTGTCTTTTATTTTAAATGAGAAATGCACACCAATCTTTCTAACTTATAAAAGATAAATCAGTCACCAAACTTGTGATCGTTGCACCTAATTAGGAATTTCTATTTGAGCTTATGTGTAACGCTAATAAATATGTTCTGTGAGTTATATTAGGACAACTTAGGGATAAAGTTTTCATGTGATATATTATGCTAGCAAGAAATTTGATAAAGTAATGTGAATTACATCACCACATAAAATTATTTACTTGCTATAGTGATTATTTCCCAATTTTGGATATTATGTGATAGTCACGTGAGTTGAAATTCATATTGATCACTTTGTTATCAAATACATTGTTACTAAGATGGGCTCTGAATCATGTTTGACCTGATGCATACTTCTATTATAAGAATTCGATAGAGATGGTGGATCTAAAGGGCACTAGAACTTATATAGTGTATCTCTTATCTAGGTTAGAGTAAGAAAATTCCTCATTTCCACTTGATGATATTAAAGATATTTTATGAAGAATTGTTACTTTTCATTTTTTTAATAAATTAGTCATTGGTATGCTAACATAGTAAGCTACGTTGTTAATGAAATTATATCTACATGTCATCAACTATGTGAAAACGTTCATTTGTGATGTTGGATTGTACTATTATGATGAACTCTGTCTATTTGAAAAGTGTAAGGATCGTATTATCAAGAGATATGTTCCATTAGAAGAGGTAGGTGATATTATTAAAAATTTTCTTAATTTAGAATTTAGAGGGTATTTTGAAGGATTTAAATTTGCATCTAAAATTTTACAATTGGGATTTTATTGGACAAACCTGTTTTTAGGATGTTAATGAGTAGGTAAGGAGATATGATAAATGCCATATGAGAGACGACGTTACTAGAACAAGTGAAATGCACTTACAATATATTTTAGAAGTTGAGTTTTTTTATGTATGGGGGATTGATTTTTATTAGGACATTTGTGTCTTCTTTAGAAATATTGATATTATGATAGTAGTAGACTATGACTCTAAATGAATAGAAGTTGTGCCTCTACCTAAATATAATTTTGTAAGTGTTAGAATTTTTTTTCAAAAAATATATATTTTTGTAGGTTTAGAATGCCTAAGATTATTATTAGTGTTAGAGGAAGCCACTTTCACAATAAAAAAATTGAGACATTACTTGAAAAGTATGAGCTCAAACATAAAATTTTTATTACTCATCACCCTTAAAACAATGGACTAGTAGAGGGCTCTAATAGGGAGCTTAAATTTTTTTTTGAAAAAATTGTTCATACAAGAAGAGGAGACTAATCTCGGAGGCTTGATGATTCTTTGTGGGCTTATAGGACAACTTATAATACACCAATAGGTATGTCCTTACATATGTTGATTTTTTGAATAGTATGTCAATTGTCATTTGAATTAGAACATAAAACCTACTAAATAGTTGATGGGTTTAATTATAATATGAAAATTTTGACATAAAAAGATTCTTGTGATTGAATGAATTTGACGAAAGTAGATCAGAAAATTATGAAGATGCTAAGATATATAAGGAACAAATAAAAAAATGTCATGACTAGAAACTTATTAAGAAGAACCTTGAGCTTTAGGGTCTATTTGGGGCAGTTGCAGCTTATTGAATAATATGTTGATAAGTTGATTAAAAATAATCTACTGAACTGATAAACTGATAAGCTAGGTGCGGTGGCTATTACAATTTTTTATTTTTTTAGAAAAGTCAGACTGCTGTCAGAAAGCTGTCACCTCCCAGATAGGTGCGGTGTGAAAATATTTTTTTCAGCATTTTGAAAATGCATAAGCTGCCAAAACACAATTTACCCAAGCAGGTCGGGTGGGTATTCAAAACACCGTCGCATCAAATAAGCTTCCCCAAACGGGGCCTAAATGTGAGGTATTATTATTTAATTAATGATTAAAGTTAATCTCAATAAATTGAAATCCGACTGTTCTCATTCTTTTGATATAATAAAAGTATACCCATTTAAAGCTGTTGATATCAATAATAAAAAAAATTGCACAGGTATTTAAGGTAAGTGGTTGACGGTTGAAACTTTATTTAAGAAGTGATAGGGGAGATCATAAGGAGTTCTTGGAGTTGGCTTATCCCAGTTAGAAACTATAGTATTGTTTGGTTGAAGACAATATATAAAACACTCATTGAGATTTAGCCCAAACAATTTTCAATGTGTGATATTGTCAATTGGTTTAACAACTTACTTTGTTTTACTCTTGTTTGTTTTTTTTAGTGTGTGGGCACTTATTTTGCTTTAATTGTAGTTAATGTGCTTAAAAAGTGCGATTGGTGTGCTAAAGTCTATAAAAGCTTGTTTCGTGTCATTTTAGTCCCTATCTTTGTTGCGCTCTAACCTGGCACCCCACTGCTTCATCTGGGTTGCCTGGTGCCACTCACCTAACATAATGCCTCAAGCGCCCCAACACCGCATTAAACCCTAAATTTTTTTCTTATTTGCAGATATGTTCTGTCGTGCATAGTCTTGGCTAATATGAGTCTTCACCAATTTGAAACACTGTTGAACCTCTCATTTATCATACACAAATAAAAATCTCATGCCTTAACAGTCATAAGACAACATGAGAGATAAGAAAGAAATGAGAGTAAGAAGGAGAAATAATAAGAGGATCATTCAGGGTTTCATAAGCTCATAGATGATATTTTCTTCACATTTATCATTCCTCAAAATTTCTTATTTTTTTTCTTTCATATTCCTTAGATCGAGGCTCACATAACTGGTTCACAGGTTGGGGTGTGGGGGGGGATCACAATTCCATTAATGCTTTGAATTCTTTTGTTGTGAGGTTTTATTAGTGTCATCGGGTTATGCTTATGCTTGCTCTCAAGTTACTTAAATTACTTATTGTGCAAGTTGATGACCTCATTTGTAGTAATATAAGCTTTTGGCGTGATGAATGATGTTAGCGTAAGAGTGAACCATCTCCCGCATTAATAATGAGTAGAAAGGTCCCATGCATAGCCTTATAAAAAAAACTTCATTTAGTAACTAAGAATCCACCATTGAAAACCAACAAACTCAAGAAAAAAAAATATGTGGAAGTATTAATTCTCCCTCATCTGACTAATTATTGAGAGACATGATAAATCTTTGATAATAATTACGTTCGTTATGAACTTCTCCAAAAATAGCATGATAACCTCATTGAATGCATGGATGGTATCACCTAGGAGAGAGTAGAACCAAATGCGAGTTTGACTCATGAGAGCAATGAAAAGTAATTGCCAAAAAAAACACATTTGAGACACGTTGAATGTGCATAATGTTTTGATGATGATCCACATATTCACAGGGGTCTGCTACCCCTTCATAAGAATTGGTGTTTGGGTGCTTGAAGCTCACTATGATGGGTTGTTAGAGGACCACCTCAACCAAAGGCATTCTCTTATAAGTTACAACGAACAAGAGATTAATCCCTATCCCCTAAGAGGGAAATTTTCTCAAACTAGGCACGATAACTAATCATGGATTAAGCCATCAAAATAAGGCAGGACTAAGTTTCCCGTAAGCACCAGAGGGTGACCGACATGCCTAGAAGTGTGAGAAGGATGAGTGGAACTAACAGTATCATAGGAGCGTTCTAAATAAAAATAATCGGTACTTTGTAATGTCGGCCTTTACTCCACGTCGTGATTCATTACAACTTGCAAGAAGCGACCAACGATGATCGATGGTGGGTGGTGGGCTGCGGGTGGTGGTCAACGACAATTAGCTATTACAGGAACAAGAAACATTTACCAAGTCTTTGGTCTAGAACGATAATGTAATTCAACTCATTGTTAAACCAACTCGAGGTCTAGTTTTTCTTCTGGCTCAATGTCTAAGTCCATTTTCATTAAGGGGGTGAGACTTTTTTTATAGAATCTGAGAGCGACTCCCCTACAAATTAGGAATGAATCTGAACCTCTCTATTGGATGACACAAAGAGATTCTCATGATTGAATGACATTTTGTAGGCATTTAAGGGCATTCAAGATATTATAATTGAGTGATTTTGAGCTCGTTGGATTCGTCTTATCGAGACACTCAATTTGATTATAAGTTTGTTATATTTGAAATTCATGTGACATTTCAATTAACAATTAAAAAATTTCAAAAGTGGTTTAAATGCTTCATCCAAGCTTGATTCGGCTCAGATTGAATCAAATTTTTGTTATTTTGTTCGTCTCATTGAGTCAGTCAGTTTGATCATAAGTTTGTTGAAATCAAAGTCCTTGATGATTTTTAATTTGTCTTTGAATATCTAATTTCTAAAAAAAATTCTAAAATTCGTGTTAATTGTATCTAGATTCATGACAAATGTCAGTTTTTTAACATATCAATTATAACAAAATTAAAAAAATAAATATAATTTTAAATAACCCCTAATAGCTATGATGTTTTTTATATTATTTTAAAGATAAATTGATATTTAAATAAATAAATAAATTCTAAATGTATAGATTCATTAAAATAAATAACAATAGCTATATAAATCGCCCATTTCCGAATCTTTTATCGCCTTGAATTAGTAATTTATCATACATGGGACGTTCAGTATAGCAACCGTGAGTTCCATTTAAGCTGTTATCCCCATCGCACCGGCCGAACAATCCTACAAGCCGACGGCTCTGATTTATCGCCACGTGCCTTCTCGTCGTTACGTACACGGCTTTTAAAGCCTTCTGCTGAATTCTTTCCCCTTTTCTCGCAGTGAGCCCACAGTAGACGACGAAGAAAGAACTCTTCCAAAAAGAAGAAACCTTTTTCTTTTGAAGAAGAATTCAAAAAGAGCAAGTTGAAAATAAGAGATGGGTTCAACGGGAGGTCCGAGTCCATTGCGCTCCGTCCGGGGCTAACCTTCCAACTCCAAATCCCTCGGAAGTCTCTCCTCCTCCTCCTCCTCTTCGACCAAGCTGCTCGATGATCTGCAGAGGACGGGTGGTGGGAGGTCCGGGAATGCGAAGTTGAGGGCCCTGGATGCCACCAGTTTAGTCGTTTTGTTTCCTTCTTACGTTTTGTAGGATCGAACCATCGGCGATCGTCTCCGATCATGGCGGTCGTTGACAATACTGACGGCTCGGCTCCTTCTGTTAGCCGCGAACTCAACGCCGGTGGCGGGAAAGAAGATGAGAGTGATCATATAGGGGAGACTCGGATCACTGTACCAGTGATGCGGCCCCACCATGAATCGTCCTTTTCGGACTTTCAACTTGAGGTCTTCAAGCCGCCGATGGCGCAACAGAGGCCCGGGAAGGCGGCAGCGGCGACGTCTCAGTTGTCCAATGGCGGCAGTAGAGAAAACCCACCATGAATCGTCCTTTTTGGACTTTCAACTTGTGGTCTTCAAGCCGTCGATGGCGCAACAGAGGCCCGGGAAGGTGGCAGCGGTGACGTCTCAGTTGTCCAATGGCGGCAGTAGAGAAAACGGTGAGGTTGGGTTCAAGCAGGATATGAGGGATCTGGAGGAGCTGCTATCTAAGCTGAACCCTATGGCTGCGGAGTTTGTGCCGCCATCGCACACTAACTACGCATCCAGGAGTTTTGGGGACAGAGGCGGCGGTTTCGTCTCGAACAACGTGGGGATACATGGCTTGTACACGAACGGAGGTTATCTAAACGGAGGTTATGCGAATGGTGTCAATAGTAATGGTGGTCATCGGGTGAGACTCTCGAAATATCCTGATGATGCTGTTGCTTTTCACAGATTAGGGTTCTCATTTTGTTTTGCCAGGGGAGGAATGGTTACAGCCAAGGAAAAAGGCGGATGAACAACCGAACTAGTATGGCCCAAAGAGAAGATATAATTAGAAGGACTGTCTATGTTTCTGACATTGATCATCAGGTTTTTTTTTTCTTCCGTGCACTTGTTAAATATGAAGGAAATACTTTTTTTTTCCTGAATATCTATAGAATTTGTGTCTTTTATCCCTTTTGAAGGGAAAAAAATTGCGTACGTCAAGCCTACACAGGAGTTACGTACGTAAAAGGGTACACGTGGGTTACAAGGGATTACAAGGGGTTATAACCCCGTTGTACTTCCCGTGTAACTCCCGTGTAACCCCGCTGTAATCTTGTAACCCCAATTGATAAAATAAAAGTGCGGGTTACAGGTGAGTTACACGAAAGTTACAAGGAAGTTATAACATGCTTGTAACCCCCATGTAACCCCCGTATAACGCCCGTGTACCCTATTACTTACACATCTCTGTGTAGGATTGACGTACACCTATTGGGGTTCCATTTGTTGACCTCAATTTTTTCCTGAATATCTGTAGAATTTGTGTCTTTTATCTCTTTTGAAGGGAAAAAAATTGCGTACGTCAAGCTTACGCAGGAGTTACGTACGTAAAAGGGTACATAGGGTTACACGGGGATTACAAGGGGTTATAACCCCGTTGTACTTCCCGTGTAACTCCCGTGTAACCCCGCTGTAATCTCGTAACCCCAATGAATAAAATAAAAGCGCGGGTTATAGGTGAGTTACACGAAAGTTACAAGGAAGTTATAACATGCTTGTAACCCCCATGTAACCCCCGTATAACGCCCGTGTACCCTATACCCGTGTACCCTATTACGTACACATCTCTGCGTAGGATTGACGTACACAATTTTTTTCCAGAGGCTTGATTGTTCTAATGAATGATTGTTCAAATGAATGGTAAGATTTCTAAAAACTTGATTTGATATTTAATATCTAAAGCGGTGTTATCAGTCATGAGAATTTGAGGTTAGCATCATGTTATTCTTCAGCAAACAAAAATGTATTTTAGACAGACTTCATGATCCTGTTGGGCACATTACAAAACTGTGACCATACTATACTAGAAAATGTTTCTATTATGCATGAGAGAGTTTTCTGTGTGGAAATGCTGATGTGGGGGGCTTGCTCTGCCTACATTTTGGATACTGTTCAGCTCAATGGGCCAAGGAAAATGAAGATTAAACATCTATGGAAATACACTAGAAGGGAAATCAGAAAGAGACATTATTTCTAGCAAGAAGTTTTCTAATTGTGCATGCATTATTATTGATTTATTACTACTTGAATTTTTCTGGTGAAAAAAGGCTTTCTAGTACAAGTAGTTTCCTTTCCAATTTGTTTTTCTAGATGCTCCAAGATTTACGTCTGTTACAAATAAATTTTTTCCGGGGCTTTCATTTGCAAACTTGTTTTATAGTTGCCCTATGGATGCAATCTTTCTTCCTTTTGCTGGATATTTTCACTTGCCTATATCTTGACTTGTTACTTGTGGAGAGGAACACTTCTATGCTCAAAGATATTTGTGGCTTCGACTGTTTTGTTCTATTAGTATTGTTATTACATGTTTAAACGCCTACCTTGATGCTGTAAAAACAATCTTTGAAACAACAGTGGTCTACTTGATGACCAATAGAGGGGTTCATCTAAACAATTTTGTATCTTCTTTCAGGCAAAAGTTGGTTTCATTTTAACAAAATATGGTTTGTTTGTCCCTTTTTTTTTCATTTGGATGTATGGAACCTCTAAGTTGGTTTCTTTCTGAAAAATTTAAAAAATGCCTACTAGAAAGTAATTCAATTCAATATCGTACTATTGTGCGAACAAAATGGACTAATATTGTGCTAAGATTGATTCAATTTCATGAGTTCTATGCAGTTCTTGATGCATGAGCTAGAACAAAATAATAGGAGCGGCTCGCGGTGTGGGGTTCCGCAATATGCGGAATCAAGATCCTACGCTTGCAGGACTAGTGGTTCGGTCAGGTTCCGATCCCGAAAAAGTGGTATTCCGTAATTCAGTGAAATTGGACATGTCAGCGATTGGTGGATTGAAAGCATGACCGTCAACTTCCAAATTTCGGCATTCTTTTTTTTTTTCTTTTTTGATATCTTTCATAATTCCTTATTTTCTAATTATATTATTTGCTATTAGGGATTTATTTATATATTTTCATTTTTCTGGTTATGGGAAACTTTGTTGATTTGCTTTTGTATTTTAGAGGTTGTATCTCTGATTTCTACCCTAAGGAGTGCTGTATCATTCTCCTTTTATAAGTGGTGCGTCTGTAGCTTATATATGAATAGGTGATAAACATCCTCAAAATTCATACCGTGTTGTTTTGTGGTTCTCTCGTCTATTTGCAGCCCTGACAGCCGCTTAACAGCCCCTATCCCTTTCCAAACTCTGTCAATCTTGCATGCTACCATTTCTTTGATATTCCACAACCACTTCCAGTCTAAATCCGCTTCCTAAAGCCCTAGAATGGTCAGTTCCTTTGTGATTTAGCTTGCTAGGATGAGACAGTTCCCTTAAGCATGTGATGTCTTGGATAGCATAGGATTCCAAGTGATTGAAGTATTGCTTATGATCTACACAAAGGTGGTTTCGTATTTGTTAATTTGACTGAAGTGGTGCTGTGACTTGCTTGGTAATAATGTTCCTAAAATTATATTCATGTTACTGAATAATATTGAGGCCATGGCATTCTTATATAATTATAAAATCGCTCTGTGGCCCTTATATATTCTGTATAGTTGTTTGAAACTTTTTTTCTTTTATTTGGCTCCGTCAATAATGCATGAAGCTCACAACAGGCAAAGTTTCAAATAGGTTACCACAAATGTTTGGAGTGTTTTGTCGTATTAGATGCATCAAGCATTTTATTGCATGCCTTATTGAATGTATTTTAATGAAGTTTGTTCATGATGATTGTTTTGTTGGGCTTCTCCCGATAACAATCTTCAATATTTTGATCTGTATGAGCCTGTTGTAGCCATTTGGTCATGCCTATATTTGTATGTTGCAGTAATAGTCTTTGATTTTGACATTTTTAATAGTTAATTAAGAGTTTATCTCATCACGAATTACTCCGATGGAACAGCTGAATCGTTCATAATGAAAGTAGTCAACCATAAAGTGTTGGGATAAGGCTAGTGATGACAATCCAAGAGCTCGCTTCACACTTATCTCCTATCAGCCATTTGATCCAATTCTGTGACTCAATCCTTTAAGTCCTTCTATAGGCATTGTAGTGAAAATCTGTGGAGCATTAAATCAACTTGCTAAGCATATGCTGACCATTTTCAACTTTTAACTAGATTAGTTTGTCCTAAATAGACCTGCAGAAGTTTAGTAGTAAAAATGACAGCGTCTTCATTCAGTTTCCTCTAAAGCTTTAATAAAAGGTTTTCAGTGAGTACCTTTTCTAACAAAATCAAAATATTAGCTGCCTATGTATAGATTAGGTCTTTTTTAAGTCCTATGTCAAAGTAATCCAAAGAGAAATCTAAAGAAATAGGCAACCAAAGTTTTCATTTTCTGCTTGTCGATTTTGTTTTCCAGTCTACAGTTGATCTTTTTGACTAATGTAAAATATATTTTGCAATTTCAGTTGAGCGAAAATGTTTTTGTAGAATTGTATTGATCACTAATTACTTGAAATCATGGTATCTCTTCCCAAGATTCTGCAACTGAGCTATTGAAATAGAATGTATAAATAACATTGGGTAAGCGGCATTTTCAGAGTTTTGCCTGCAGTTTAAATTGGCTTGGATGGTGAAAATTTCTCATAATTTTGTTCAGGTTGTTCATCTTGAGAGGCACAGTGATTCTTCTGAACCTTTTGCTCTCAATGCAGCCTTGATATCCCTTGAAGTTACTTTTTCTTTTGCACAGTCCTTGTTTAGTCTTCTATAGCTCATGATACTTGTTTTTATTTTGAGCCAATTTTTATGAACTTGCTCTTAATATACTGACAATAAATGACATTCTCACCTATGTAGTGAATTTCATTGTGCATTGTTTTAGATAATGTGCATATGCTCATTCCATTTTTTGCCAACTGAGCTATTAAAATTAGATGCGAGAATAGCATTGGCTTAGTAGGTCTTTCATGATTGTGCTCTATTTTAAGTTGGCTTTGATTCTGGTTCAGTTTGTTCATATTGAGAGCCTAATTATCCCAATTCCCATTTATCCTGTTCATAATGTTGACCCATAAAGTGCAATTGAAGGTTTTATTTCGTAATTCACTTTTTTTACTTGGTGCCCAATTCTTGCCTGGACTTAAAATTAAGTATAGTTTTGGTTCATTGTGTTGTTTTAATTCGTCAGTTTTGTGTCAAGTTACCAATTCCTTAAGATATTGGCTATAAATGATTGCCTTATCAGTTTGATATATGACAACACACAGTATGCATAAATTAAAAATCTATCCTATATTATTATTGTATGATTAATGCTATAGAATTTATTTAATCAAGTAGTGTAATTGTAAATATTTTGTATTTATCAGTGCAACTGCATTTTCCTTGTTAGGCTTGATTTGATTTAGATAATTGTTGAAATGTGACAATGTAACATGCATTTGTTTAGATAATGATGGGAACCTTTGTATGAGGGAAGGTGGCGAGGAGTCTGATTGCCATGGGATCAAAGCTATGCCATCTTTGGCAGTATGTGTTTAGCACTTGTCCTTGGCAGTAACACAATCTCACAGTATCCTTTGATCGCACTGATCTTCCAACAATGCGGTTTTGTTGCCTTTAATGACTGATTTTGTCACTTCTACCGATTGATCTCATTTTCATTGTTTTCTTAAACATTTTTTGTTCTACAGTAATGGAATCTTTTTGCCTCGAATTCATCCTTGTTAGCCCATTCTTCAGTGCTCCTTTTCAGCATACCTCACAATGCTCGTTCTTAGTAGCTCATCCTTTAGTTCTCTTATTCAACGGATCTTGCAGCGCTCGTGCTCGACAAGCCACATAACACTTTTTCTAGACACATCGCAACAATGCATCATCTCCAATGACACGATTTCATTAGGAATGCAATCTTGAATTTTATTGATATTGTTTTCT